TAGTGTAGGGTGGCAAGCGTTGGTTGACTTTGGGGTTGTCTTAAACTAAAGTCTTACCAGTCAGTCTTCGGTGAAGTCTTCAGTCTTGAGTCTTGCGCCCTGCAAGTACGCTGGTTCAAGCACACCGTGTTCTCTTATTCATGTTTCATTTGTTAATTGTTCGCCACCTTTGAGTATTCCGGCGTTACTGTATGTCATGTCATGTCCTGTGGTTACCGTCGTTTGCCTAGCTGGAGCAAAGGTCATGGTCATGACTCAGGTGATGACGGTCACGATGGTCCTGACCCTGCCACTCCTGGGCGAAGAAATTCTGTGCCCGGGCCCTTTGCCCCCTTCCGTCATCCTGCAGTGCGTGGTAGGGCCACTGCAAACGCTCCATATTTCGGAGAAGGCGCCGGTCGCTTGGTTCGTCGTCCTCATCTTACGGACGATCATTGCGATCATCCATCGGGCGGTGAAGCGGCTCCACCTCCTACTGGTCCTACTGGTCCTACCAGTCTATTGGACACGCGCCTCGTGACGGAAAACCTTGCATCGTTCCTATTGGACCGTATGTTGGCAGTGGCCGAGGACTGATTGAATTCTGAGGGCATTGGCAGTGAGGAGAGCTAATGTGTTCAGATTCATTTTGGATTTGAACTCGAGCTATTCCTTTCATGGAATCATAGGTCATAGGCTAGGCTCACGGGTTTCTTCATAATTCATTAGCAGCAGCGTTGCCATGTGGCCTGAGAGCACAGTTTGTGTCAGCATCGGTGTCCATGATGCGGGATATACTTGGGCACTAGCAACACAAAGGCTTAGGCCAAGGACAAAGCCCAAGGGCCAAGGCCAAGGCCAAGGCCTGTCAATGTCCGTGGCAATTGAAGCTGCAACGAAAGTTGATTTGTTGATGATCGGTGCCGGAGGAAAATTGAAATGTGGGTCCTGCTTGGCCAGCCGCGTGGCAGTTGTTGTGCCATAGAATCCACCAACGTTACAAGTTTGAATTGAAGAGTTTCGACATGTCCAAACATGTCAGATACAAAGTAGCAGCCTTTACTATACTGTGTGAGTCAGTGTGTGGCGGTGTGCGGGAGTGCCGGGTGTGTGGTGTGCGGCCTTCTACTACATACTACCATCGCAGTTCTGATGTTTTGACATAAGACGTACGACATCATCGTTTGACTGAGGTTGCGCCATCTTTCCGATGCAGCTTGAACTCAAGCAGCAGGCGGCCCGCAGACCAAGTCAATGAATGGCTCTGGTTCAGACTCTCCACCCTCCACTCCACCATGGGTCATGTAAGCAGGCTGAACTCCGAATCCAGCAAAAGTTTCTGCAACCTCTGTCACACTAGAACTACATAGTTCAACTAACCCTGTTTTGGAATGATGATGGACAGGATGATGATGTGGATGATTATCGTAATGAAATTCATAGCTGTATTTGCGGCTGGCCCGCTGGCTGTCCACCTGTCCGCCAAATCCATTAAAATAAACTGGCTTAGCTTCACTTTCTTTCTCGGGCCAACGAAATCTTTGAGGAAGTGACGAGGGACGAGGGGGTTTCTGAGTTCTGATTGTTTGATTGCTATCCTGCGCACGATTCATGATGCTGCTTGTGGAATGTTCGAGGCTGGAACCTCCCAACCGGCCAAGTTGGATTGTGGGGAAAGCCTAGAGTCGACTGTCAAGCCGGCGTGTTTAGGTCTGGTGATTGGCAAAGCGACTTTCAGATGTGTTGCTAGGGGAATGCACGACTGGAATTGATTTGTGTTAATTCAACAAATTGGAGAAGCTCCTAATCAAACAGAGCACACTGTCACATTCACATTCTAATGGCTATGAAATGTCTCTTGTATGTGGAGACGTGCTGAAGCCACTGAGAGCAAGGAGACGTGACGTATACCTGTATACCTGGCTCCAAGCCACAGCCAGACTCCAGTGTTTCCGCTTCCAATCAACGAAGGGAAGAAAGGAACATGTAATCAGTCATTGTATGGGTTGCAAGTTCTGTGATGTGTGACATCTGCATGGCCTAAAGGTCTTTAAAGGTCTAGAGTCTATAGTCCAGGTAGTATCATTGAGGCATCAGCGGAAACAGCAGCAGCATGCAGCATACTTGATATACTCATGACTCATGACTTATAACATTCCCAGACGTTCCCATCACTTCTTATGTTTGGCTGAGCACTCCCCTCACACTGTGGCATGCCTGTATGTGTGGAAGCCAACCAGGCAACTTCACAATTTACAACAAATAGCAGTTGGGGTTGGCTGCCCTGTGCCAGCCATGGATAGCGGAGGGAAGGTCGAGCCCTCCCAAGAACAACCACAACAGTCACAGTCTGGTACTCAGGAACCCAGCGCATGGATCTCAGAATGAAGGCAACTAAACTAAACCTAGCCTAGCCAAGAAATGCGTTTGTACATTGAAGTGAAACAGGTTTGCAAGGCCCTTGCCCTTGTACATGTGGCATATGACACGCAAAATCATACCACAGGTGAGACACGACACCAAAAAGATTTAAAAAAAAGATACACAATTTGTTCCCAGATTCTAAAAAGCGCTTGTTCGGAGCTGGGTCCCGAAACAGGGGGTCTGG